GGGGTGGAGGAGAGAGGATAAGGAAGCCATGAGTGGTGGGGAAGAAGAACAAGAGGCTACCCTTGGTTTCCTGTTGAAAAGCAGCTGTAGCTTCATCTCTTTCACGTTTCTTTTTGTCTGGTAACAAATTTTAATTTTTCCATTTAAGAAAAATCAAAAGTCCCGTTCAATATCACGTAGCACTTAGTCGAAGGATAATTTAACTGTTAAATTTGATTTTCGCGAACAAATCTCTATTTTAAATTTTGATTACTTATTTTTAAATTACAAAGTGCTTCCGATACTTTAATTTTTCTAAAAGTGTTTTTGTTAAAATTGATTTTGATTCTAAAAATACTTTAGGAATGATCAGATATGTGATTATTGCAGTAAGCACTTAAAATATTTTTATCAAAATCCATTTGAATTCGCCTGATGCGTTTCAAGATATTTTCACAAAAAATATTTTTAATTATTTTAAAAACACTTTCAAACAAATTTTACTTTATATTAAGCCATACTACGTAAGAATGATAGCAATTGTAAAAGAAGATAAAAGCTAAGATATATTTTCACTCTTTTTCTTTTGTCTTTTGAACTATTTTTATACTGTTTTGTTGGTTTGTCATTTGGAAACACGTTGGTGTTGATACGTGGATTTTGCCGCCGCGGAGAGAGAGTCGGAGGAGAACAGAACCGGATTTGGATCCTCGCCGGATTCTCTCTGGAATCTTAGGGATCAATGCATACAAACTGTTAATAAAAAATCGTGTAGTCCCAATTAAATGTTTTTTATATTTTTAAAAGTAAAGTAGTGTCGTTTTACGTAAAAAATATAAAAAAGAAAAAAATTATGATTGTACGATTTTTTATCAACAGTCTGTGTGCGTTGATCCTAAGATCCCTATGAAGGGGATCCGGCGAGGATCCAATTCCAACAGAACCGCCTAAAGCATAACTCCAACTGATGTTTCTAGAAGTGTTATATTTTAAGCTTAAATGATTAATTAGTAAATTGATCACATTTTATCACACTAACAATTAGGAAACTTCTTAAAGTGACACTTCGACTCCATATAATTAAAAGAAAACTAATAAAAAGAATTTGAAAACCTTGAGTTTTAATGATAAGGACAAAATAAATGGTAAAGTGAACTGTATCATGATTAATTTTTTAGTGTAAAAATATGGTTTTTTGTTAAAGTGAACAATACCGAAACCTTTTCGTTAAAGTTCTTTATAATTAAAGGCCTCTCTATTTCAAAAGATGGAACTTATAAGTTATAAAATTATATTAGATTTTGTCACTCAGTACTACGATTTGGTGGTATCTTCCCCATCTAGGAGTGAAAGGTCTTAGGTTCAAATCTCGTGGATGGTGAATTCGATATCAAATTAGGCTGCTCATTATGTGACTTAGCCAAACTCCCATTTCCTTAATGTAAAAATATCGATGTAGTAAAAAAAATATTATATTAGATTTTATATGTGGATGTAGTAGTGCAAGTTATAATATAACACAAATAGAGTCAATTTTAACTTTTTAACTGTAAATTTATACCCAAAATCAAATGACTATGCATATAAATCACCACGGCATGGCTTAATGTTTGGGAACGAATTCCAGACCGGTATTCTACACAACACACATTGTGTTCGATTCTTGACGCTATATGAATACACGATGGTGGCGAGAGAAATAATGAAATGCTTTTGTGAGCCTTTCTGACCCTCGATATGGTGTACTGTCATGGTGAAGCCATCATCTGATCCACTTTTTTTTGGAAAATGAGTTTGCATATAGCACCAAAGTCATAATTGACCTCATTTTTCAACGTATTAGAGAAGAATTACGCTTAATTAGAGCCAAATATAACTTTTGACTCCTAATTAAATGATATGTTTACATATAGTGTGACAATTCAAAAAATTAAACAACTATTCTTTAAGATATTACTAGCCTACAAACATGTAGGAGACCCTTTCGTGTAAAAATGAACAATACCAAAAACTTTCATTAAAATTCTCTTTTAATAACTCCGCTACGCGCGACGTATTGATTTCAATCACAAGAGTTAAGCGTGACTTAATTTATTCGTCCACATACTACTGCTCTGCATGCACAAAGCTGAAATATTTTTGTGTGCGCGTATACACAATGCTGGCGATATTTTTCAAGTATGTGGCATTTGTTGAACGAAAAACACAAAGTAGGTCGTCTCCATGTGGTTGGGCGACTGGGTGCATGTGGTTGGGCCACTGGTCCATTGGTAGTTATTCACTTACTATATTCATATATTGGTCTTTTACTTTGTATTTTGTTTTGATACAAACGATATTTTTCATTAATTTTATCTACAGGCATATTTGTTAATTTGCTTCCTAAATTTGTATGGAATTGTCAACTCTTCCTCTAAACTTTAATTTTAGCCGATTACCCTTTGAACTTTTTAAATTAGCCAATTTTCCCCTTGAACTTTAATTTTAGACAATTTCCCCTTTAACTTTTATAACTTGCTAGTTTCCCTTGCTTTAGATTTTAAAATTTTACATCCAATTTTCTTCTTGATCAAAGAAACAACACATGGCAACTATATGACGGCAAAAATGATGAAAAATTGAATGAAAGTTTTTAAAATCTAAAGCCAAGGGGGGATTGGCTATTTATAAAAGTTCGGGGGTAATTAGTTCAGGAGGAAAATTGGCAGCTGCATACAAATTTAGGTGGTAAATCGACAAATACCTCCTTATTTAAATTATGAGAAGAAGGACTCGAATTTAGGTGCAGAGTGCTAGGTTAACTCGAATAAATGCCTGATTTAAATAGAAATGCTCTAAATGCTGTTCGCGTCAGGAATTTCCGTCGAGAATGGTTCCTGCCGACGAGCACACAGCTCCCCGGGAGGTTGGCGCCGGTTGAGGGCAGCTGTCGGGCTTCTATTTCATTATCGGGCTTGGTCGGGCAAGTCTCGTCGGGCAAGTCTTGGTCGGGCAAAACTCGTCGGGCAAGGCTGAAAGAGAAGGACAAAGTTAATTTGAAAGGTGCCTTTGTGGGGCCTTAGTTGTAGGCCTTGAGGCTCACAATCAAGATTAACTTTGAGGTGCTCAGGCGTGCCACTGCCATCTTTAGTATGGCAGATGTAGAATGGATGTCGCGTTTTCGTTGCAAATATGCATATACCCGAGCAACCGTGTTAGATGTGACAGGTGCCTTTGTGGGGCCTTAGATATAGGCCTTGAGGCTTCCTATCAAACTAAACCAGTGTTCGAACGCATCATATTTGGTCTCGTGATTGCAGGAGCCTTGTAACTATTATACTTCTGATTACCCGAGTCTGAGAGGTAGGACGAACCCAAATAAGTGCCTTTATGGGGCCTTAGGTGTAGGCCTTGAGGCTTCCCATTAGAGTTCGTTCTAATACTCAAACATTCTAGATCGCAGGACGGAATGAATCCAAATAGGTGCCTTCGTGGGGCCTTAGGTGTAGGCCTTAAGGCTTCCCATCAGAATCCATTCCATGCTTAAACGTTCTATGATAATCATAATATAATAGAAACAAAACAAAGAGGTAGGTCGATTACTTGCGCTCCAAGTAACTTCGAACTTCTCGTTTATCAAGGACTGTCGTGGATGGGTTAAGTCCACATAAAGTTCTTTTTTATGCCTTGAGGCCAAGGACTTTTAACTGACCAGATTTACACGCCCGAGGGCTTAGGACTTTGGATCTGGTTTGAACACTGAAGATATATTCAAATCGGATCCAAGTACTGAGAAAGCTTTTTAATAGCTATCTTGCTAGAAATAACTTGCATATAACTGGAAGTATACAACATATTACTAGGATTTAAAGCATGAAAAGACAAAAACAAAACAAAGAAGGTCGGGCAAGGTTAAACCTTATTGGTTAAGGCTGATCGTCTTGCAGGTTCCTATCTTTGTAGTTTTGTCAAAGGTCTGAAAGCTTAGAAAGAGAGGGAGGTAGAGAGGTACAAAAAGTGAATTGATACTACACCAAGTTTGGACAGGGTAGTAGAGCTATTACAAAGGTTTGAAGGAAAGGTTATTCCGCGAGGGATGAAGGCTTGTCCCGAGAAGGATAAAGGCTTGGGCTGACTACAGCTTCGTTTTGAAAGCAAATCTGGCTTTGAGCAGAGTTTTTGCTTGCATTTGTTTGTTTGATTAAGTGTCCTTATTACTGGCTTCTCTTTCTCCTTTTATAGACAACTCGGTTTGGCCTCTTGTAGCAGCAGCCTTGCCCGAATGCGGTTTGAGGGTGATGACTCATCAGCTATTTTACATGTGATGCCACCATAAAGTACTTTATGGGCTGTGTAGCTGGTCAGTCTATACCACTTGGTCCTTGGGTAGGTAAGCAAGTGGCCTTCATGAACTGTATCAAGTCAAAAAATGCCATTTTTTGCTTTTCTAGGTTTCGGCCGGGCCCTGATCAACTATTCCTTCAGGCCTCCTTTTGGGCCAGCTCCTTTCTTGAGCCCAAAGTCAAGTTTTAATCCAAACAGTGCCCCCTTCAATTAATGTTAAGGTTGGAATCCCAGGCGCCATCATTGATTGAATATCCGCATGCATGTATCTCAACCTTTTGGAACTTGTGCTTTCTGTACGCCTTGCTCTTCTCACGACCTTTGAACTGTCCTCTGGGCCCTATAAATTCTAGCTCGGGACCTCTCCTGTCAAGCCATCAAATCCCCTTCGGCTTTCACTTCCCTCCTCTTTGAGCGTTCTTGTCTCCTTTTAGAAACTGAGAAATGGGTTCCTCAGGATTTGAATGGAGTTTCCTAAAACTCCCTTTTCGTGAGAAAAAAAGGGTTCACCCAATGACTGCTATCTCCAACACCCTTGGTCAACCACCCCACTATCTCCAACACCCCTGGTCAGGCGGTTTCCTCTCGACGGTTTGTTTTCCCGCAAGTTGCGGTGATAAATCAGGCTTCACCATCACATATGGTGACAGTCCTGTCGGAGGGTCCTCTACCAGGCACATGTTGGCCGCACAACCCGATCACCCGATTGGGTTCCATTCATGAAGACATCGGGAAACCAGCTGAAGGCATCACCATATTCAGAGAGAATCAAATGTAATACGTAGGAATTGAATCCTTTGTTAATTTCACCAATTTGTCGACATGAAAGAAATATTATTTCAGCAATTTCTGTCTTCTGTCTTCTTTGAATGGTTGATGAACAAAGCACTGCATATGAAACTCCCGAAACCCGCTTTACTTTGCCCCATCTTCAATGTAACAATCCCTAACATCCCATAATGTAGGACAATATTTTTTTAAGAATTTAACATTAATGGGATGTTTCTGCCCATTTCCTTCGAGGTCCGCTAGGTAGTATCCTCCTTTATTCAAAACTTGACTAACAATGAAATGACCCTCCCATGTCGGGCTCCACTTTCCAAAGCCCCGAAGCTGAGCTCCTAGCGGGAGGACTGTTTTCCATACTAAATCTCCCTCTTTGAAAGACTTTATCTTCACCTTCTTGTTATAAGTTCGGGCAACAGCTTTCTTTCCTTCTTGAATCTGGTTCAAGGCTTCAATTCGGACTACATCCAGGTCTTCAATTCCTTGACACATGGCTTTGATGTATTCTTCACTATGTAGCCCAAATTGGTTTTGAATTCTTACAGAACTAACGTTAATCTCCATGGGGAGCACTGCATCTTGCCCGAACGTCAAAGCATAAGGAGTTGTCCCCGTTTCTGCCTTCTTGGAAGTTATGTATGCCCATAACGTATTCCCCAGCCTCTCATGCCATTTTTCTGGACTATCTATCACCATTCTTTTGATAATGTTGACCAGGATCTTGTTGCTAGCCTCTGCCTGACCATTTGATTAAGGATAGTACGGACTGGACTGGATCATTTTTATTTTGTACTTGCTTGCAAACTCCTCAACTTCTTTTGAAATAAAAGATGACCCACGATCCGTTACTATAGTTTCAGGCACCCCATATCTATGCAGAATCTTGGACTCGATAAAATTCTTGACTACGGCTGAAGTTATGGATTTTACTGCCGATGCTTCCACCCACTTGGTGAAGTAATCCGTTGCTACAATTATAAAAGTATGCCCTTTACTAGAAGCTGGATAGATTTGCCCGATGAAGTCCATCGCCCACCCTCTGAACGGCCAAGGCTTGACCACTGGATTCAAAGGTACTGAAAGCACGTGTTGGAGAGGTCCGTGCCGCTGACATTCTTCACAACCTCGGGCATAAGACTTGCAATCTTTTTCCATATCGGGCCAGAAATAACCGTACCTTCTAAGCAACCATCTTACTTTGTCCATGCTTGATGTGCTCCACATATTCCCTCATGTACTTCGGCCATCACTCTCATGGATTCCTCTTGGCCTAAGCATTTTAATAGTAATCCATCTGGGGTCTTCCTTAGCAGGTTCTTCGCCCATAAAACATATTTGGTTGCTTGCTGTCTACTTTTCTTACTTGTAGGCGAAGAAGGATCCTTCAAATGATGAATGATAGGTGACCTCCAATCTTCCATCTCGGTCTCTAGAACCATCACGTCCAAACTGAATCCCCTTTCTAAGATAGAAGGAAGGTTTCTTCTTTGGATCTCAACATCTACCCCATATTTTCTCTCCTGTATTGGCACTCCTGAGGCTAGTTGTGCCATCTCGTTGGCCGCTAAGTTAGATCCCCTGGGAATATGATTGACTGATATCTCGGACTCCTAGAAACTCAATAATTGCGTTGCTGTCATGTAATACCCCGCCATAGTGATATGTCTGCACTTGAACTCACCATTCAGCTGGTTTATTACTAACTCTGAATCACCAAAGATCTCTACTTCTGCTGCCCCCAAATCCATCAGGATTTCCAGACCAATAATCAGGGCCTCATATTCTGCCCGATTATTAGTATTTTCTTGGTAATCTAGAAGAAATGAGTAATAATGATAAACCCCCTGAGGATTTACAATCACAATCCCAGCCCCTGCAGCCCTCTGAGTGTGGAATCCATCGAAATACAGCTTCCAAGGAGTGATCCAGAGACCCGTTACTCTTCTTATCTCTTGTTGGACCCAATCTTCTTTGCCTGAAACATCTTCTCTTGGTGGGATCCAAACGCTAGTAACCTCCAAGCTCCCCGGGACATTGATTACCTCACTTTGAGATTCTTGATGCTCAGTCAGGAAGTCAGCAATTGCCTGGCCTTTGACTGCCCTTTGGGGTACATATTGAAAACTGAATTCTGATAGTGCTAGAATCCACTTCCCAATTCTTCCTGTTAGCATTGGCTTTGACAACATGTACTTGATCACATTTGTTTTGGCGATGATGTGCACGTGACAGGGCAACATATAATGCCTTAGCTTACTGGCAGTAAAATATAGAGCCAAACATAATCTCTCTACTGGAGAATATCTTGTCTCTACCTTGGTCAGAATTCTGATGAGGTAATATATGGCCTGCTCTTTCCCGCCTTCATTATTTTGGGCTAACAAACTCCCGATTGATCTTTCCGAAGCAGAAATATATAGCTTTAAAGGCTTTCCCCTTTGAGGTGGCACCAGCACTGGTGGCGAAGTTAAATAGGCCTTGATGCTGTCAAAGGCCTGTTGGTGGGGCGGCCCCCACTCGAAATTCTCTTTATCTTTCAATCTTAGTAGAGGAGTCAGCGGCTGGATCTTGCCCGTTAAATTGGCAATGAATCTCCTCAAAAAGTTGATTTTGCCTAGGAGCCTTTGGAGTTGTACTTTATTAGTGGGTGAAGGTGACTCCATTATTGCCCGAGATTTGTTCTTGTCCACTTCCACACCTCTCTGATGCACCAGGAATCCCAAGAAGTTGCCCGCTCTCACTCCAAATGCGCACTTCTTTGGATTCATCTTCAATTTGTGGACCCTCATTCTTGTCAATGTTTGCTTGAGGTCTACTAGATGCTGCTATTCTGTTTTAGATTTTACCACGATGTCATCGATATATACTTCCATGCTCTAGCCAATTAGATCGTGAAAAATGGCATTCATTGCCCTTTGATAGGTTGCGTCAGCATTCTTGAGCTCGAATGGCATGACCAGATATTCATATGCCCCCACGTGACCGGGACACCTAAAAGCTGTTTTATGAATATCTTCTGGAGCCATCTTTATCTGATTATATCCGGCATTTCCATCCATAAAAGATAAAACTTTATGTTTTGCCACTGCATCTATGGATAAATCAGCCATGGGCATGGGATACTCATCTTTTGGCGTATCACTATTAATATTTCTGTAGTCAACACAACATCGTACTGCTTTTGTTATAGCTTTTAAAACGGGTACAATGTTGGCCAGCCACTCCACATATTTGGCTGGTCTGATAAAGCCAGCTTTTACCAGCCTTTCGATCTCTTCTTTGACCTTTTCTTCTATCTCCTTCGACATCCTTCGTGGTGCTTGCTTAATAGGTTTATATCCCTCCTTGATGGGCATTCTATGTTCTACCAAGGTTGGATCTAACCCTGGCATCTCGGTATAATGCCAAGCAAAACAATCTTTGAATTCTTGCAAAAGACAAATAATCTTTGCCCGATCATCAACCCCTAATAAACCACTGATCTGTATTGGTCTCGGATCCTCCTCTGTGCCTAGATCAATAAATTCCAGAGGATCCTGGACTTTTGGTGGTGGCTTATCCGGTTCTGCACACAAAAATTCGACCAACTCCGGGCTCTCGGGCAGGTCGTCTGGCTCGTCTAGATCATATATGCATTCAGCCATTTGAATGGCCCTATCCAATTCTTCTTTGCAAGATTCCTCCTTGCTTCCATGCTGGTTAGTTGAAGCTTCTTCCTGCCATTCCTGCTCTTCATTATCTAAGAGCTCCATTTCTTGACTGCCATGACCTGATCTTTCTTCTTTTGTTCAGTCATTGATGGTGTAGGGGGTTTGGGATGATACAGGGTATATCCCACTCCTCTTTAGTAAGGAGCATTCCTTGTTCCAAAAGCTTTTGGGCCGTCACCTTGGTAGGGCGGCCGTTCTTATCAGCTCCTGAACATTTCAAGATTCCTACGTTGGGGTTGTAGAAACTTGCTTCTGCAACATTGGCTGTGGGGAGGAACGGCCGTGATTCGGCCTCTACTATCTCCCAAAAGCCTGGTCCTTTTGTATCTGCCTCGTGATAAACAGCTACTTATTGATGAAGAGGAGGGTATGGCTAAACTTTGGTGGATCCAATCTCTTCCGAGTAAGGCCCCATAAGTGAAGGTGCAGTCCACTACAAAGAATGCCAGCATTATCTGTTTGGATCCCAAATCCACTTCTAATGGCAGTATCCCATGAGTCTTGGTGATAGCGCCTGAGAAGCTAGAGACCGTGAGGTCTGTGGGAATAAGATCCTCCGTGCCTCTCCCCATTTTCCTCATCTGCTTGGCTGGTAACACATTAACAGCTGCTCCTCCATCAATTAGAATTCTTTTAAAGGGCACACCCTTCAAGTGAGCTGTAACATATATGGGCTTTAGATGGTTGGCCAACGAGATGCTTGGGCGGCTAAATACCATCTCATCTGTATAAATCCTTAAATAACCACCTTTGGATGCTTCTGAGGGTTCAGTTTTGCCCGAGTCTTCCTCTTCAACTACCTCCACATTGACATGTGCCATCATGGGCTCAGTGGTCAAGTAATCACCCTCCATAGTAGCGGGCTGATCAGGCTTGGCACCAAACGTGGCGGATAATACGTGTGCCATGTTAATATGGAAATTACTAGGCTTGAGCAAATCTTCCTTCTTGCTCCCAATCTGGTCCATGAATTCATCCAACCAGGCCATCGCATCGGCGGGAAGTAGTGGTTCTGGTGTCCTTTCCTGTTGCTGTTGATTCATACCCGCATACAGTGTTTGTTTTGGAACTTCACCAAAAGGATCCACCAATGGCAGAGAATGTGGTCTCCTTTCAGATGGAACGGTTCCAACGCAAATAGGCTCCGGCTTCCACCTAGGGGTTGGCACCATAATCAGATCTTCTTGAGCTCTCCTCAAGATTCTGTACTTTCCAGGGTGTTGGCTCTGCGACACATGATTCCCTTCGCCCTCTGTTTTGCTGTTGGCATTTTCCACCTCTTTCTTACTTCGCCAACAGAACTGACTACTACCTTCAGATGCTGTTTTCTCCAACTTTTGGTTTTTTGAGGCTTCGGATGTGGTGAGGGTCTTCAGGGAATTCATGTAGGCTTTGTGCTGCCTTTGAACCCTCCTGACCATGGAGGCTCCCATCGGTTTGGTAGGCTGTCCGTTCTTTCCGACTACATACCATTTTCGCCCGAGGTGTGCAGGATTCCCTTTTCTAACAGGATTAGTTATCCCATCAGTCCTCTTGATTTCCCTCCCCATCTGGCCATTTTGAGGATGATCTGCACCCCTCCGTGTTTTGGCCTCCATATCTTCTGCCTCTTCAGAAGCTTCATGGTTTCGAAACACTTCTGACAAAGCCTTGGGTTGGGAATCACCTCCTAATCGTTGAAAAACGCTTCGGGAAGTGTCCTTCTTTGTTGCCTGCTTAATCTTTTCGCGGGCTTCTCTTCTTATATCTTCTTCCTTTCTCCTGATCAGTTCGTGATCAATGAGGATTCCAGCTGGGGGAATTTCGAGCTCACATTCGCACTGGCACTTACTACACATAACCATCCCCTTGATTATGGTCGCTTTTGGATATTCGGGCGATTTGATTATCCCCTCTGTAGGTCTTTTAGCCAGTCTTTCTTCCTCTTCTTCTCTTGTAATCTTTCCTTTTCCTTTCTCCGCCCATGTCATATTGATCATATTTATAGGGGCCTCTGAGAAGGGAAGTGCAGGGTTGGCCACTACCATCTCTTCGGGAGGAACCAAGTCTATATCACTTCTAGAGCCTGTAGAGGCTTTCTCCAATCTTTGCAGCATTTGAAACAATGTGGTTTGCAAATCTTCTGGCATTTTTGTCATTTATCTTCTAACCAGCATGGAGGTCCCACTAGGCGTACCAAAACTATGTTTGTGTCAGGAATTTTCATCGGGGATGGTTCCTGCCGACAAGCACACAGCTCCCCGGGAGGTTGGCGCCGGTTGAGGGCAGCTGTCGGGCTTCTATTTCATTATCGGGCTTGGTCGAGCAAGTCTCGTCGGGCAAGTCTTGGTCGGGCAAGACTCGTCGGGCAAGGCTGAAAGAGAAGGACAGAGTTAATTTGAAAGGTGCCTTTGTGGGGCCTTAGTTGTAGGCCTTGAGGCTCACAATCAAGATTAACTTTGAGGTGCTCAGGCGTGCCATTGCCATCTTTAGTATGGCAGATGTAGAATGGATGTCACGTTTTCGTTGCAAATATGCATATACCCGAGCAACCGTGTTAGATGTGGCAGGTGCCTTTGTGGGGCCTTAGGTATAGGCCTTGAGGCTTCCTATCAAACTAAACCAGTGTTCGAACACATCATATTTGGTCTCGTGATTGCAGGAGCCTTGTAACTATTATACTTCTGATTACCTGAGTCTGAGAGGTAGGACGAACCTAAATAAGTGCCTTTGTGGGGCCTTAGGTGTAGGCCTTGAGGCTTCCCATTAGAGTTCGTTCTAATACTCAAACATTCTAGATCGCAGGACGAAATGAATCCAAATAGGTGCCTTCGTGGGGCCTTAGGTGTAAGCCTTGAGGCTTCCCATCAGAATCCATTCCATGCTTAAACGTTATATGATAATCATAATATAATAGAAACAAAACAAAGAGGTAGGTCGATTACTTGCGCTCCAAGTAACTTCGAACTTCTCGTTTATCAAGGACTGTCGTGGATGGGTTAAGTCCACATAAAGTTCTTTTTTATGCCTTGAGGCCAAGGACTTTTAATTGACCAGATTTACACGCCCGAGGGCTTAGGACTTTGGATCTGGTTTAAACACTGAAGATATATTCAAATCGGATCCAAGTACTGAGAAAGCTTTTTAATAGCTATCTTGCTAGAAATAACTTGCATATAACTGGAAGTATACAACATATTACTAGGCTTTAAAGCATGAAAAGACAAAAACAAAACAAAGAAGGTCGGGCAAGGTTAAACCTTATTGGTTAAGGCTGATCGTCTTGCAGGTTCCTATCTTTGTAGTTTTGTCAAAGGTCTGAAAGCTTAGAAAGAGAGGGAGGTAGAGAGGTACAAAAAGTGAATCGATACTACACCAAGTTTGGACAGGGTAGCAGAGCTATTACAAAGGTTTGAAAGAAAGGTTATCCCGCGAGGGATGAAGGCTTGTCCCGAAAGGGATGAAGGCTTGGGCTGACTACAGCTTCGTTTTGAAAGCAAATCTAGCTTTGAGCAGAGTTTGTGCTTGCATTTGTTTGTTTGATTGAGTGTCCTTATTACTGGCTTCTCTTTCTCCTTTTATAGACAACTCGGTTTGGCCTCTTGTAGCAGCAGCCTTGCCCGAATGCGGTTTGAGGGTGATGACTCATCAGCTATTTTACATGTGATGCCACCATAAAGTACTTTATGGGCTGTGTAGCTGGTCAGTCTATACCACTTGGTCCTTGGATAGGTAAGCAAGTGGCCTTCATGAACTGTATCAAGTCAGAAAAGGCCCTTTTCTGCTTTTCTAGGTTTCGGCCGAGCCCTGATCAACTATTCCTCCAGGCCTCCTTTTGGGCCAGCTCCTTTCTTAAGCCCAAAGTCAAGTTTTAATCTAAACAAATGCAATACTCCAATTTTTTTTTTACAAGCAATAGAATATCTATATTAAACTATAGAGAGGAGGATTTGAAGACGGGACCTTGGATGCAAGAACGAATGCTCTTAACCAACTGAGTTACAAGTCATTTGCGCACTACTTTAAAATTGAGTTAGTGCTCTTCCCGAGGAGCATGTAACCTTTTTTGTAAACTAGGTCGTTAATTGTTATGGTATTAGTTTAGGAACTTAATTTGGGTCAGGTTAGCACCTTACTCGTTAACCTTCCCCACTCACCAAGTGCCACATGAACTTAAAAATAAGTTTTTAATGCCTTAAAAACTCATAAATAGAAATAATATGATTTACTTCTTTGGCTCTTTTTTTTTTTTATTTTTTGGTGAGAATTTGGGTTGAATTGTTACAATTTTTATGTCTTTAAAGTAATTATTCCACATTAAAATTCTTTGTTCAAACATGGGTTTTGAAATGCTATATGATTCAAAGTTTGCTCTTGTTAAGGAAGGGCTTTGCTGGTTGTTGCCCACAAATTCTCTTCTCGAGACCAAACCATCTGCACTCAAAAGGATGTGTGGCTTTTATGTGACCCCAATAAGTGATTCACACATTTATTATTCTAACTTTTCTTAATTTTGTTGTCATAAATTTAATGTGCCAAACACTTATTAAGGTCATAAAGAGGTCACGCCTATGTTGGGTATAGAAGATTTGATCTCTTCTCTTTAGGCCAAAGCGCACACGCGTTGCTAATATACTTGAGTTGATTCTAAAGTTAATATCTTTATCTAGGGTTGTTTTACACAACTATTTCTAGGGCTGGAAAAAAATCCCAAAAATCCCAAACCAAACCGAAAAAATCCCGATCCCAAACCAAAATTCCCGAAATTTTCGGTATGGGATTCGGTTTTGCATCTCCATATTTTCGGTATTCCCATACCGAACCGAAAATAAATATTATATATATAATATTTTTTAATTATAAGAAAATTATTTCAACCGTTCATTGTTTTGAATTTAATCTGTATCGTTCATTTGTTTTTAGGTCGGATCTCCCATTTCACTTCCGTTCCATTGATTCGATCGAACTTGAAGCGCAGCAGCCTTCCTCACCGAGCCCTCATCTCATCTCTCTGTGTCGAATTTCGGCCAGCCACCGGCCCACCACCACACCATACTATCTCCTCTGACTCTCCAGCCTTCCTTCACCACGCAGCCACCGCCACGCCACCGCTCTCTCTCTCTCGCGATCTCTCTCTCTCGGGCGATTTTCTCTCACATCACAGAACTCTCGATCCAGCACCAGCACCGAATAGTGCAGCTACAGGTAATGCTACCCATTCTTTTTGTTACTTGACCACTAAGAAATTTTATGAGAATCGGATTTCCATATTTTTGTTTTGGCTATAGAATCTTAGATACATGGTCTTGCTTTAATGTTTGATGGCAAATCAAGTTTTGTAATTTTGTTTTCTTTGCAGTTCTATATTTATTTTTTGGGCTGAGGTTATTTTACATTGCTTGGAGATCATCAGATTCTAAATCTTCCCAGAAGAAAGAAATTGAAGAAGTAAGTTTATTATATGTTTTCACTTTTTAGCCTTTATTTGATTTGTATTTATTTATGATCTCTAGATAGATGAATGGTAAACTAACAATGCTTGGTGCCTGTACTACCCAGTTTATGGATCATAATAATCAACTTTAGTTCGGATAAAGCAATATTTAAATTTTTTGAAGACTTGCTTTGATGCTTTTGAATGAACATGTGAATGATGGAGGTCTTCAAAAACCTCCGAAAACAACCTCATCTGTATAGTGATAAAGATTGCAAAACAACTTTACCTCAATTGTGCAACTGATAAAGTAAGATGATGAAATTGAGTTAACTGGTGTCATATGTTTAAAACTTTCCAGGCTCATTGGTTTTCCCTTGAGTTAGCCATGAAAGTACTAGGCATTTACGAGAAGTGGGAATAATCTCAGAATTCAGAGTTGTTCTGAATTGACTGCCTGCATTATTCCTGATGTCTGATCACTTTTTATATCCTTTTGTCTTCATCGCGTTTATGAGCTTACAACATGAATTTTGTCCCTTTGCCAGTCTATTTTGTTATTTTTGCTGTCTAAATTTGTTTCCATGGTGTTGTAACTTGTAACTAAAAGGTTCAGATACTACAAAAGTGCGATTTCTTATTATCGATGTGATCAAGATTTAAGTTGTTCTGTGTGTCAATTAGGTACTTTCCACTGGACTTGGTAGGATTGTGCCAAACTTGATATCAAGGAAGCATACGAATAGTGCAGCTACATGTAAAGCTACCAATTCTTTTTGTTACTTGACCACTAAGAAATTTTATGAGAATCGGATTTCCATATTTTTGTTTTGGCTATAGAATCTTAGATACATGGTCTTGCTTTAATGTTTGTGGTTCTGTTTTTGCTTCTCATACCATATGACTCTTTAATTGTAAACTACTGGATGGCTACATATGTGTACATGTGAAATGTATAATTTCACAACAGTAAACATAAAAGAAAGTAAGCAAGGAAGTGTTAGACTATGATGAACTGTCATTCTGTAGGATTTATTATAGACACCATGAGTAGAATCATAGATCAGATTATTGAGGTATCACATTTTATGATGTACTCAAGGTCAGGGAGACCATGCTATAAACTAGGACTAGACAACATAATATGTCAAATTTTAGTCCAAAAGCCCAAAACCATTTCGGGATTCCCGATTTGTCCCGAAATCCCGAAACTATTTTAGGATTCCCGAAAATTAGGATTCCCGAAAATTTGGTTTGGGATCGGTATTGAAATTGGGATTCCCGAAAATTTCGGTTTGGGAATCGGGACAAGGGTTTCGGTATGGGATCCCATACCGAACCACCCCTAACTATTTCCCTTTCCTTTTGATTGAGATTTTCATGTCCCTTACTTCAAGCAAATTACGCAAAGGATATTAACATGTTGCAGCACAATCCTTCGTATCTTTCAAACATAATTTCTCATACAATTTTCAATCCCACAACAACGCGCGGGCACAAATTCCTAGTTTGATTCGAAAATAAGAATCCCTCTAAAGTCTTTACATGTAACCGAACAAACGATACTCGAAGTTGTAATTTTTCTTCGATAGTCCAGACTACTTAGTAGTACGTAACAATCAGGATTGAATTAAAACTATTTTTCTCAGCTTACCTTCAGAATTATGCTGCTGATCAGGGGAATATAAATATTGAATTCAAAGAAAGAATCCCTCTCAAGTCTTACCAAATAATTGCACAAACGGTACGCTTAACTTGTAAGCTTAGAGAGTACAGTAGAATAAATAGGTGATACAAAATTTACAGTAGGCTGGCAAGAGTACAAAGCTCTACTTGAAAGAATTGAAGAAGCTGACTGTGTCGTTGAGTGCCCGGATCAAGTCATCGACATCCTCTACGGTGTTGTAAAAGTGAAGACTTGCACGTGCACTCGCGCTGACTCCCAACTGCCGATGAAGGGGTTGGGCGCAATGGTGACCTGATCGGATAGCCACTCCGTGCTGGCATTACATAAGTTAGCATCAGCTATTTTGTTGAAGCTCACTTGTATTACAAAGTACGGGAAGCTAAGCATCATACCTGTTGGTCAAGAAACGTTGCCAGATCTGTAGGGTGTATATTCTCAACGTTGAAAGAACATAGGGCAGCCCGGAAGATGTGTTCTGAAGGGGCTGGACCATAAATGCGAATATTGGGGACAGATTGAAGGCTCTCGTATAGATATTTACCAAGAAACATCTGTGAAAATTGTAAACAAGAGCGGTTTAGTAATTAAGCACTAAATAATTGTCATACGTCAAGCATCGACCTTTCAGTCTCTAAAGAAGCTCACTGGTTCTTTTCTTCTTAAGGTATATTTAAGGTCTCTATAGACTTTTCAACTGAAAATCACTCCAACTACACACTCATACAAGTACAGAAAATGGTAAAAATGACACTTATTATCGAAACTGGTGGATACTACACTACTTCATAATTTATATAACGACGAAAGAAATGTAGCATAAAAGTTATATATGTCAAAGTTCGAGAAGAAAACAGACGAGAAACATGGCAATTACAATGATGTTACTGATATTTACATAAAGGAAAAATCTAATGTTCAGAATTGGCATTCAAGTCATTAAAAGAAGCATTTAGATTTCAAGAGGGAACCAACCAAAAAGAAAATAAAGTTGCATTTTTTACCATAATAAGGTTCGACTAGAGATCCTAGTCTAATTTATTATTATTTGTCTTAGTTACTTCTATTTCTGCTCACTTTTACTTCTTTTTTTTTCGTTAACCTTTGTTTGGAAGAAGCTTTCATCTGTTGTTTAAGCCACTTGGTGGTCCCTGCATTTCTTACTTCTGGGAACCTTTCTTTTCGCACCTTTTTAAAGATAAATCTTTTTGCTCTTTTCTACTGGGAGATGTTTCAGCATACAGAGAACCCCTTTGTATGCCAACACCAGCTTGAATTGTCCAATTGTGTAATTAGCTCAAGCCTTAAGTTGATTGCAATTTTCTGATCAGCTTAATTCTTGTATGATTAGCATAGTGCAAGGCCTAACTCCAGAGCAGATTTATGTCTTAGGGTCCTATATATAATAGCCATGTCTTTGCAATACAAATATTTTCCACTCTCTCTCTAATGTGTACTTACAACCTAAAACAAAACAAAAGCCCACGCAACAGAAAAGTCTAAACCAGTTGAATAGAACAGGAAATTCAAAAGGCCGAAGAATCCAACTTACCTCATAATCATGTATCCTTTGCATACCAAGTCCTGACAAATAATCAATAGCTGCTCCTAACCCAATTGCTTCCCCGATTGCTGGTGTTCCAGCCTCAAACCTAGTTCGGTTAATGAGGGACAATTACAAAAAGACATCAGAAAGCAGCCCACTATTGTATAACTCATGTGGATAAGGACCAATATGTTTCATGGAAAAAACTACAAGGAAAAACTGAAATTCCATTATGGTCGAAACAGGATAAGGGCATATTACCGTAAAACAAGGCCAAGTGTAGAGTGCAGCTAGAATAATTGTATGCACTTGCATATAACCAAATAATTGAAGATCACTTTTATTGAATAAAACATAAGACCTACTTTACTACTTCGGTACAAATTCCACAAGCATCTTCTGTCATATATAGGTAATTCCTAGTTTCCTACATTTTCTATAGGTATTAAAAGGGCTATCAAATTGAGATATATTTTGAAAATGAATTCATGAGATATATATATATTTTTTTTTTTGAGAAGAAACAATTTTATTAAAGAATAGTGAAATACACAGAAGTGGATAAGAAGTCCACCAACAAATTAGAAAGGAAAATCCCAATAGGATTTGGCTATAGCAGCCAATTCTAGACCTAGCTCACTTAACTGCTGCTAACAAATCCCACAGTATTTGAGATAAAGAGCAATTATTAAACTCTTTAGTAACTGAAGCCCAAAAAGATGCCCAATATTTTACTCTCCCCCAAAGTACTTCTGCCCCCGCTCCAGTATAGTCTTCAAAAATCCTTTTGTTGCGTTCCAGCCATATATTCCAAAAAATTGCCGATACCAGGCAATCCCACAAAGCTTTGGATTTTTTCCCTTTTCCAAGTGCCTTAAAATTGGTGCTTAGTAGCTCAAAACACCCTTTAGGAATGACCCAACTTACTTTAGGAATTCATGAGATATATCAGTGCTAATAAGACCAAATTGTAGCATTCTACTTGTTATTTACAGTCTTGATATTCTTGCGACCAGGATTTGGTGTATTCAAATTCAACTATCAAGATAACAACTTAAACAGGAGACAGTTATTTACAGTCTTGATATATTTTGAAAATGAATTCATGAGATATATCAGTGCTAATAATAACCAAATTGTAGCATTCTACTTGTTATTTACAGTCTTGATATTCTTGCGACCATGATTTGGCGTATTCAAATTCAACTATCAAGATAACACCTTAAACAGGAGACAGTTTGGACAATAACATCAACATGGTATACAAAGCTGCTCTCATCACTGCATTTAATTTAGGGGTGTGATATCCCCACACCCCTTTTTACTTCTCACACACCCTTCTAATTTTCGGCCGTCAGATCGGATGAAATGAAGAAGATCAACGGACATAAATTAAGTGTGAGAAGTAAAAAGGGGTGTGTGGATAGCACACCTCCACACACCCCTTAATTTAAACAAAAAGCTTTTCAATATGTAGGTGAATTCACCAACCTAGATGGAGGTTCTTGGTAAGTGGAATGATCATAAAATACATCAGAGATCATTTCCCCACCACCTAGAAAAAGAAGTAAAATAATATAGTGAGAATACACATAAGCCATTGCCCTCGTAGATATAGTTATACAAACCAAACATAACATTCAGAAGACAACCTTTAAATAAGAAAATTACCTAAAAATGGAGGCATGGCAGACAAGATATCACTCTTTCCATATAGGAATCCGACGCCTGTAGGCCCACACATCTGAGGCATGTTTAATATTTACTTTATACACTTGCCCATAAGGGTAGATTTCAGCACATAAGCAAGTATCCTAACCTTGTGAGAAGAAGCAACAAGAAAGTCGGCGTTCAGATTCTGGACATCAACCACCATATGTGGAACACTCTGACAAGCATCTACAAGCACTTTTGCCCCAACATCATGAGCACAAAGCACAATATCTTTGATAGGAAGAACAGAACCTGCATGAGAAAAATTATGAATGCATCAATATGGTCCCGCAATTTGTTATCTGCTTTCTCTGAGACAAAATCCATAATCTATTCTAATACAAAGAGTTTACTCAAATAATAATTTGATGCATTTGAAACATCATTAGAAAGAAAGAAAAAAAAAATTGTTTATTTGAGTATATGAAACTTTTTAGTCTCCAGCAGATAAGATACAACGTACAACAGTGGCCTGTGTAAAGTTGATATAACTAAAGCACAAGTGTCATGACTAAAGTTGGTATACCCAAAGCAAGAGCAGGCAGGAATCAAACGTACATGAACGTCTCATGAGTCATCTAGTATGGACTACAAATCTCTACTATTTCTAGAGATTGTGGAACATAAGCTATGGACCCTAGAACAAACAGGTTGAAAAGCAAACCATAGAATCAGCAACTTCTTCTCCGCTATGGACACCTACTGTATTAATTAGTAGAGAAGCACATCCCACCTATCTAAGAACCACCCAAGAGAAACTTTACTTTGCAATGTGTTGGGGCTGTGTGGCTCCATACAAGCCAAGTATGTGTATCCCATATTGGAGAACTATTATAATAATCTAAAAGTTAAAACGAGGTGGTCCACTACAAATAGCACTGAGGCATTTTAAGATACAATGCAAACCTGGATATATCCATTGACCAAACCTCACCAGACGTACTGGACCTAGGTGGTAAAGTGACGTGGATAGGAGTTAGTAGTAGGCCCATGATGGTCTGTTGCACAAAACAATGCTTATCCAGTTTAGATGTTCGGGTCAAAACCAAAGCAACAATACATCTATAACCGTTAGACACCAGATTTCGAGCATATAAATATGACGAGAGGTTGGTGACATCACCAGTAAACACCTACTGATATGCGTTCAGAACTGAGTAACCCAATCAGACATTAGTGACAGTGCCAGTACAAATGAATAACACTAGAATAACAGGATGGGTTTTTCTGGAATACATAATTACTGAACATGGAACACATAAACTCTTTCTTTATCAGTTGAATCGGAATAGCTTCAGTAATCAATTGGACCACAACAGCTTTACTAATTAATACAAGAATTCTAACGCTCATGTCATTAAGAAAGATATTGCATGCAATCTTTGCTTTCCAGTTTAGCTTCACTATACAAAACAACTATGGGCATAATATACAAAGAAGGAAAGAAAACAACTGATGAGAAACATACCAAGCACGTTTGAGACATGATGAACAACTACGAGCTTTGTCTTCCTTGAAAGCATATCTTTTAACTTGTCCACATCAGGGACTTCATGCTCATTTAATTCCACATATTTCAAGACTGCACCAGTCTTTTGAGCTACAAATTGCCAAGGAACGATTGCACTATGATGTTCAGCAACTGTAAGTATGATCTGAAAAGAGATTTTATTAAGCACGAGCTCATAAACAATACGAGATCAATGGTACTTGCACTTAAGAGTCCATTCACAAACAATCTACAGAATAATGTGGTGAATAGATCATGAAAAGCTATTTGATACAAGTATTCGTACAAGATGATATAATGGAGCTAAGTAGAGATGTTAATTCCCAAACTCGAATATAAAATAAGAAAACCATCACCAAAGAACATGTAACTATAGAAATAAAATAAATAATAATAATAATAGAAAAGAATAATAGCGCCACAATGGTGTATTCCTTTATGAACTTGTTGTAAAGTAATTTACAAAAATAAAATAAAGGACACAATGGAAATAATACACTGAAATTCTATCTACCTCATCATTTGGTTTTATGTTTTGGAGCCCCCATGAGTAAGCAACCAGATTGATAGCTTCGGTAGCATTCCTAGTAAAAACAATTTCTCGGGAGTCTGATGCATTGATAAAGTTGGAAACTTTCTTTCTCGCTAGCTCATATTCTTCTGTTGCCTTTGCACTAAGTTGACAACATGAAGAAACCGTAAGCTATAGAAGGCAAGATGAACCTAACTCCAACTTAAATATTTAATAGTGAGTTAGTTAATATACAAATCAAAATCTAAAACTTATTCAAACTAATTAGTTATTTATGTATTCTGTACCTTAAGTAATGGATCCCACGATGCACATTTGAATTGTGGCATTCATAGTAAGTTTGCAAAGCTTTTAACACTGCAGTAGGCTTCTGGGAAGTTGCACCATTGTCCAAGTAAACAAGCCTAGATCCATTTACTTCCTGTCATGCCCATTTGGTAAGTACCAATAAGTAACACATTATATATCAACATCTCTATATTTGTGGAGACAAACCTGATGGAGGATGGGAAAATCAGGTCGGGTCAAGTGACCGAGCGAAATGGATGTGGGCGGAGCGGAAGGGGTCTCTGAGTGGCCTTCTTTGAGAGTTGAAGCAGCTACGGAAAAGGGTCGCGAGTTCACAATGGCACGGCGAACAGGGCTTCGTAGGATTGGGAATGAATAGTATGGCAGTTTTACAGTCACTCCTTCCAAAGTCAACATCATTTCTTGTTTGCTTTTGGTCCTTACGCTTCCTTCAGTTTTCGCTCTCTCCCTCTGCCTCTAAGTCTCTCGCTCTGAAGATACACTGGTATGAATCTTGAATTTTTATAAGACCATACCGAACCAATGACACAAAAAGAATAAGACAGAACAGACCTATGAGGTCCTCCCCGGGGAATAGGAATTTCAGACCTCCATTCCTTTTCTAATACTTTCCCATCTTTTACAGCAAGACTCCAATGGTCCACTTCAGGTGTATACCGTGGTAAACCAAGTCTGATTCCAATTGGTGTAGAACAATCACACTCCAATATGGACACGCCTAATACTGAAGATTAATCCAAGTCCAAAGTTCTACTCCTAGTTCTAGTCTAGTTCTGATTGTATATTATGTTTTCTGTTTTCAAATGATCATTGTTATAACTTTTTTAAGAACGACAAGACTACGCTTGAACCAAATGAAATCAAACATATATCAAATGATATGTAAAAAATCCACTGAACACTGAAACCCCATCACAAAATCTGACTCGAAGAAATGAGAGCACTCTGGTTTAACATATCTACCAGACAGACAACTCATATAATACCTCACCATTTGCTTTGCAGTTTGCAGTAAACCCCTTCACAATTCAATTAAGTCAAAATCCGAAACTTTGTTTTAACAAACTAAAAGAATAGTAAATTAGTGTGTTTTTACTATTCTTAAAATCTTAATCCACATACGAAGAATTGTAGTAACAATCGCAGCTGAACTGGATTTTGCAGTGGTACACCAATACTCTAAATATTTCACTCAAAAAATGCACATTGCACACAAAAACAACCAAAAATTTCAAATCTTGAACTGACCCAGATGGCCAAATGCGAAATATAAATAACCCCTTTTTCGCCCACAGAATTTGAAATATTAATGCTCAGTGCCTCGCTCCTTATTGAGTTGAGATTACAAACTATATCCTACTGTCTTTCATGGTATCAAGAGCCAGCGTCTAACGACAAAGGTTCAAATTTTAAATTTTTTCTTTTCTTTCTACAGCTATGGCGTCTTTTGTATAAGTTTGTCGACAGAAAATGCAAATTAATAATTGAAAATGTGTAAGGCCACTATTTGTCCAATCAGAACCAATTTGAACAGAAAATTAAACACAGAGAAGTGAGAGTGTGAGACTAACCTTTTGCTGTCGAGACTCGGAACGGCAAGAAGTAGACGGCGAGATGATAGACTGACGGCGAGGTGTGAGAGACTGAGAGTAAGAAGGGTCGCGGGTCGCCGCTGGGAATGAGAGACAGAGAGTTTGAGAGAGTGATTGAAGACCGAGAGAGAGAGAGAGAGAGAGAGAGAGAGAGAGAGAGGAGGCTCAGGCAGCGCGAACTGGGAAAATGGGAGAGAGGAATACGCGTAGGGTTATTATTACTTCACTTGTGGATATGTATGCCGAATGAGAATTAGGAGTTTAAATGAATTTCGTCTTCCTCACAGAATTACTAGCTTAAGGGTAGAACGATGCCGTTTCTAGAATAGGATTATTAATTAATAAAATAATTACACAACGACGTGGTTTTGAAGAACTTCGGTTTGGTTCAGTTTCCGAACCTCAAAAACCAAAACTGACCTAATCAAATTCGATTCGGTTCGGTTTAAAAGATTCGGTTCGTTTTTTTTTTTCTGTTCAGATTTTTCGACTTTAGTTCGGTTTTCAATCCTATTTTTTTTTTTTTTCAGTTTTTCCAACCCACTCCTAAATGAAACTAAATCATTTGGTTTTTGTTTGGTTTGGATTTTGGTTTGTGCCTCACTTGTAGGCCCGTAGAAAAATTGAGATTAATACAAGTATTCAACATTCATACAAACTCAACAATTCAAAATCTTAACCGTTACATCCAATCAGAAGCAAATGAACAAAGAAGATTCTAGCCAAAAGAATGAAAACCTGTTAAATGGTGGATGATTTCTTGATGGTTGAATATGACCAAGAGGCGAACATAAACAAATGAAGCATCTAATGCACCCGCATTTTCTCACCAGTCTTTGCAAACTAAATGCTTTATGTCATTAATACAATTCAATTGAATAAGTTAAGTGTGTCATGCTAAAATTAAAGTTCAAACATAGTTCAACGTCAAAATGACTTATTGAATCGTTTAACCCTTTTTCCGATCCCTTTTCTTTTGAACACTTACTCTTCGAAAATTTAGGACATCTTTGGGCTTGAGAATGTGATTCTTGGCATGACCCTGGACCTTGCAAAGTGAAACCGATGGATCAGAAGCTACCAAACCTTGTGAACTCTAAAAGCTTGAGATTGCTTTGAAGCTTCTTGTTGTGGTTGTAGATTAAGACTAAGAGAGGCGATATGCTTGAATTCCAATTGGACCTATTTTAGAAAAGTGAAATGTTTCTAATAATAGCTCACAAAATTGAATTTAGATTGAATTTACCCTAATTAAGGTATAAATTCCGGCCAAGGCCAAACTTGATAAACAAGAATAATAATCAAGGAAGATTTTACAACTCTTGTATATTAACGATTAGAACATCCAAGTCTGACATAGTGTGCCCATCATACACTTAAGTTCGAATCCCTTTGTTCGTTATAGTATTTGTGCATGCCATACACGCAAGTTTGAATCCCACTCTTCGTAGGTTAGAGTCATTTAAAACATCACTTTGTCTACGCACTAAACTCCTTTAGGCTTTAGGCTCAATGGTGATTCAATTGTGTTTTGTTATAGATGCTACATCAGAGAGGGACCCTATAGGTTGGATCAACCATCTTCAATATGAACAAGTTCCCTCTATCGCCTCTTGATATTCTGTCATGCAAAAAGAAAGGAAAACAAATAACTCACTAGAAGCACACCATGAAACTTTAGAAAAAAATATGCTAGTAATATAAAGATTTTTGAGGAAAAAAAAACTTAAACACAACCCGGGAAGCTAAAGTAATGGTATTCCAAACCAATCACGTGATGTCATGCGTGAGAAAGCTAAAACACATGACGGAGGCGATAGATAGGCTTAGAGTACCGCCATTTTGACCTCTCGGTTGAATGAGAGTCTCTCCTTTAGAGAGAGAGAGAGAGGAGCATAAAACTAGAGAAAGATTTAGTCATTCAAAAGTTAAGCTTAATGAAGTTAATTTTTTTTCGAAACGAAAACTATGAGAGCAATTTTAGAAGAAAACTGTTACTGGTACTCGAAAATCGACATCAGGAAATACTATGACACAAGAGTTTCCACATTTGATGCCACAAAAACCAAGTCCCTCTGCATTTTGCAGGCTTTGCATGCTACAAACCCTTGCAAAAGATTAAGTTCGTAGGACACTCACCGTAACTCCTCATCCAAGTATGTAATTTCTAACTGACCGCGGCCGCTTCCAGGATTTTTTATAGGTATCTGTGAGAACATTGGAAAACAATGGCGGGAATAAATACGTATATGCACGCATAAGGTCTGTTTCTTCTACCTGACAACAGTGTACGATTCCTGCAGCAAGGTGCGATGGTCTCTAATCGCATAGAGTGCACACCGGAATCAATACGATTAAGGGCGTGAGGATATAGTGAATATCATATCATGTATCCTCTACTTACCAGACTAGCAATCCGGAAGAAATCAAATTTAACTGCCACCCTTCTGGAGTTTAAAGGGACTAAATTGGCTGTAACCTGCACGCTTACAAGAAAACAGCTTGGTCAATGAGCCTTTCGAGTTTCGACATTTTTGACAATACAAAAGTACATGAGATGTAATATCACACACTGCAATTATGTCCACCATATATGTGCAGAAAGCGATTGAATCTGATACACCAAACAGTTTCCATCGACTCTTACTGATTTCGTAAGTGGACCTGATGGTGCAAGAGTCATATCAACAAACCTTTGATCAAATTTTTTCTGTTATTTGAACCGAAGCTTGCTTGCATCAGACAAAACTCTACTGTAATCTTGCCTAGGAAATTAGCTAAGTTGTAATCTAGAATCTCCGGTCGCATCTGGAACGAATGAATAGACTCCCTTATACATCAGACCAAACTCTAGATGCTATCTGACATGTACGGACTCCCTTAAACAATTGAAAGGAATGAGTTTTCTAAGATTATGTATAAACTCTCTTGTTTCTTATTTGCGACGAAGATGAAAACTAAAAACCAAAGAGTTACAACTCAACTCCCAAATTCTGACACCAATGGATATTTGAACAACTAACATCCTATTACACAAGTACCACAAATCATGTTTAATACGTCCTCAGTAGACGATTTTCGACACCACATAAACACTAGGTATACTTGTTTGACATTAATAAAAAACTTTTTAGCAGAATTCAGTGAATACTAATACACTTGAGCATTGATCAACCTACTGGCCGCGTTCTGCGCCCTTAGAATCCACATTAGCAAGCATCAAATGGCTAGGCAAATAAGTTAATTAAGAAAGAGATTGAAAAGGCAAACAATAGGAAGTAACACCTGGTTAAAGAAGGGCCAAGTTTCGATATTCTGAGCCCTTAGTGTATCTGCATTGATTGCCTGATAGATCTTTCCATTTGGTCGTAAGAACTTCGGCCTCTGAAATTAAGAACATATGATGAAGAGAATGAAGAGGAGATGTAAGAACGAAAATAACGAACCGCAGAGTACAAATAAATCACCCATAGCATGCTTTAGATACTTACCTGTGTTTGCAGAACTGACTGAGATGTTGTATATATGAGCTCCCATTTTCCATTTAACAGACTAGACTTAGAGGTTCTTTTATTTCGTTGAGTGCCTCAAGCTTACGTGCAATCTGAATAAATACATCAATCGTTACCAATCCGAGGCATCATATATGATACAATGAAACTACTGAATTCTCTGGTTTTGGTCACATAATGTTAATGGACACGGATGAATCTGTTCTATTGCAGCGATATTCTAATCAAAGTTAAACTACGGGGTTGGGGATTCAAACTGCAGGTGCAGAGTGGGAGCACACTGTCGTAGTCAACTTAGCTACGCACACGTCTGCAAGACTGCAACACTACTGAAAATTTCAAATAGTACCCCACCTCTTCTACGCGTTCTTGGTCCTGCAGGGTAGCTTCGGCACCCCTATCAAGAGGAGCTATTGTGTTGTAAAGCTCTTCCTTGAGGCTGTTGATGTCTTCACCTTTCGTAGGAAATCCTGAAAGGAAGGAAACTCCGGTCCTCCATTTCAAAGAATCAAGAATAATTTTGCCCAGCAAGTTGTTGTGGCTTGGTATTATGCAGGAACTGGTAGGGTTTGGTTTCGGTGAGAAAGAAGCAATGAGTGAAGGTGAAGAATCAAAGGGGTATTTGAACGAGAATCCATGAGTTTTCAGTGGAGTGGCATGACTGAGTGAAGAGAGAGCCATTGAATCATTGATGGTAATGCTTCTTTCTGCTGATATTTATTTTTCTTCTTCTTTTTCTTTGAATATAAGAAGTATCCCACCGCACATTGTTGACATACTAATCCTCCTTGGCATTCAATATGCAACCCCGCTACTGCATGAGGTGGTAGCGTACTTTTGGCCTCTGGATCAAATGGTACGTCAAAGCAGAGTTGGTGACCCTAGAATTATATATGTGGGAGTTCGAACTTAGGTTGAGGGCTCCAACTCTTTTTTGTTTTTGTTTTGTTTTGTTTTGTTTTGTTAAAGTAGGTATTTTTACTTTTCAGTTTTTGGATAAGGAGAAATCTGATGGCCAGGAATATTATCATGTGGCTCAGAAAATGTGAGGCCAAACTATATGTTGTATCTTTGAACCAGCCTTCAGTGCAGGAAGGGACTAAGGAGCAAAGTAAAGGATAAGATTTGGCTCCTTTTAATAACGACGTAACATCGTTTCACCGTGTAAATATGGCCCCCTTCTCTCACCTCAGAACATGGGAAGAGGAGAACAAATAAATCAAACTTTGCACAATGTCTATATATGCTTTTCGTTGCAATTTGAATTTGTACAAATCGTTTGAAGTCGTTTATGTTTTTCATTACAACCTTGACGGATGCAAGCGCTGCTTCACTTCCGATAAAAGGTGATCCTTTGAAAGTACTCAAATGTATAGTCATAACTCTTAACTATGCATTTTACATGATATTTCGACAAAAAAATAACATGGAAAGGTCGGGAAATGCCTAGCTTGCAGGAAGTGATCGATGCATCAGTAACATGTACAATATTTTATACAAACACGTATACGACGAGCACTTGGAGGCTTGGAGCAGAACCAAGTCTTGGCAAAACTTGTACGCTTTAGTCCATTGTCATGAACAAGAAAGGGTGATGGCCAGATGAGTTACTAATTCTGCAATGTGATTGTGTACATCAGACAGGAACTCGGTAAGATGGATCAACCATTTTCAAGATGAACAAGTTTCCTTTGTCGCCCCTTGAGACACTGCCAATATATAAGAAAAATGATTGTCATGACTTTCCATTCAATTGCGATACAACCTCGGTAATAATTGAAGATTAGCTAAGCATCTAATATTCATATTAGCCTATGGACATAGTACAAGTGAGAAATGGAGAAAGGCTCTTGCAAAAGATTCAACGAGTGGTAATCGTTGAGTTTATCCAACCTCACAAATTCACTTTTTTCCAAAAGAGATCATATTCAAATATTTATGCTTTCCGTGTCACAACTCTCAAGATAACAGATCTCATTTCAGGGTTCATAAGACTGCTAGATTTCACAAGTGGGTTTATCCAACCTTGCAAGTTTATATATTTTTCTACGATCCAAGGCAGTTACGAGGAGGATGTATATCTCAACTATTGCATGCATTCTTGTATACTCAACACAAATGCTTTATTTCTTTCAGCCGAGAGAAAAATTTTCGAAGCACAGTTCGACTCTAATATTCAGACCTAAAAGTAAGGATCCCATGTAGTCAATTTCAATTCTTCATCCAATAAATTACAGTACATACACTCACCGAAGCTCTTCATCCAAATATGTAATTTCCAGTTCACCACGAGCTCTATCAGGCGCCTTAATAGGTATCTGTATATCATTATTATATGAACAATCTAATGTTAGGTGAAGTACACAATTAGAAATTCAAAAGCATAACACTTGCTAAGGGAAACTAAATCAATACTGCGTCATTGTTTTGCCTGGCCTTTCCAAGAGGCCAATAACGTCAAGAACACTTACCAAACCTGCAATTTTGAAGTAATCGAATTTGACAGCAACTTTTCTTGCATTCAAAGGTGTCAAATCTGCTGTTACCTACAGAGGATTGATGTGAATTTGATGTGGAATAGTCAGTGCAGTAAGGTCCACTTTTAACAAAGTACTGGCTGTTTCGTAAATTATTCATCAGAAATCTATACGGATTTTATTGTCATATAACAAAAAACCTTCAAACCTTTCATTACATATCACCATTTCTTTTATATGTATACTGCTGTGTTTCCTCTTAAAATTTGAATTTCTTTATCTATAGAACATAGTTTGAACGATCACTTTGCACCCTTGTAGTTATAAAAAAAAAAATCACTTTGGTTCCTAAAGTTTCAATTAATCAAATTTACACTGCACCATGTCAACCCTCAGTTTAATTTCTACATCAAGTCAGATGGACGAAAAGTTAAATTTTATGGCCATATTGCAACCATAACCCAACTTATGGGTAGAAAAAGGAACAAAAAATAAGTCCTACCTAAAACACGCAGTACTGCACGATCCCTCATGTAGAAATATACCCAAATTTTGCTGCATCCCCTGTTTTTAGCTAAAATTACATGCGTTGTAGGCCAAGATGTATTTTTCATTATTTTTGAAGTAAATGGAAGGGTCATCGTTGCAACAATGTGTAAATGGCAGGGTTGAAGTTGATCAAATTAAAACATTAAGAACAAAAGTAAATTTCACTCAAAATACAGGGGTGCAAAGTGTAATTTACCACTTTTTTTTTCTAATTAGAGCCTACTTGACAAGGTAAGTCATAGCTACTGGAAGATTAATGTGTTCAAAAGAACCTAAAGCAACAAGCAGAATTCCACCCCACTAAATGATTAACGGGTTACAATGTTCTTCCAGAATTTTAGTACAAAGAAAGTTTACAAATGGAGGTTAAGCGAATCAATGAGGAAATGAATTCTACAGTACCTGATTAAAAGTTGGCCATGATTCCATATTTTGAGCCCGAAGTGTGTCAGCATTGATGGCTTGGTAGTTTACCTTTGATCTCAAAATTTTGGGCCTCTGTCATGATAATATATATATGTCAGGCAAGTGAAACATCTAGGAGTTATAGAAAATTTAAGTTCAAATTTTTTCACAACTGGCAAAATCAAAGAAAAAATAGAGATCTATCAAGAGAAAAGATGGAGCAAAGTACACACATACACACACACACACAAACAAAGGGCAAGGGACATCACTGATTAGAAGCACATGAACGCTAAACAAAGGTTTATATTAAGATCAATCACTACAGGTCGCAGTTTTAACTTTTAAACAAAATGTACTGAATCTGCTTAGTTTGGAATTTTCTCATTTATTAGGGGAAGGGAAACTCTGAGTCACATTTAGAAATACATGAATGGTAATCAAAATGAAGGTGTTTCCTTAAAGTACGTAGGTATAGTCCTAAGTGACGCACATATTTTTCATACCAAGGTTCCATTTTTGACATAGCCTGTCATTACTCAGGGAGCAAGAAGTACACAAAACTAATATCCAAAACATCAAGAATCCACTGAAGCTACAACATCAATTTTATACAATTTCATTTGCTTAGAGTCTCTCGACAGACTTCTAATCTTCGAACGACATAAATATCAATGGAAGTGGAAATCTCAATCGATTTACCTGAGTTTGCAGAATAGACTTTGAAGTAGTGTATATAAGCTCCCATTTTCCATTGAGTAAATCAGATTTGAGTGGTTCCTTTGTTGGGTTAACTGCTTCAAGTTTGCGTGCAATCTATTTAGAAACGCATTCCACGGAACAAAAATAGAAAAGTGCACACGGATATCAGAAACTAATGTCACACATCCTCTACTGAGATAAATCATGAGATGATAGAAATAAACACAGCCTAAATGAACATGCTAATACAGGCTTTTCGACATTCTTTTTAAAACGATTAAGCTACTACAAAGAAATTATGCAATAATTATTAGTTGCCTCCGAGGCCCCGATGATTCCACTTAATTTCATTTAGAATGTACACAAAAGCATAAAATATGGCAATATGAACTGTTTCCTGGCTGGTATTTTAAGTGTTTCTTCATCTCCAATGAAATTGTTAGAACCCCCATTTGTCCCACATCGGACAGAGGGAGAAAAGAAGAGTACTTCAAATGGAATTACCCCACTCTAACTAACACCGACACAGAGGTCTTTTGTGATAAAACCCACACCTGAGGATTGTGCAGGTGGTAAAATGGGGACATAATCGGTGTTGTTGGAGTGGGCTCTCAGCCCATCGACCTGAAAAATTCTTCAAAAATTATTCCAACAGTTTCTTCTTTTGTATATAATTTTCAGACCCAAATGCCCAATCAACGATTTAAGGAGAATTCCCATCATATATTTTAGCCTCAAAGAACAATTAATACAAGGAAAAGCCAGAATCCAGATAGCAAATGAAAGCTAAAAGCACAAAAGGGAACGCAAAGGGCAACCTGATCAACAGTTTGCTGGTCCTCCGGAGTGGCATCAGCGCCTCGATCGAGCGGAGCAATGGCGTCAAGAAGCTCGTCCTTGATAGGCTGAGTGTCTTTGCGTTTGTTCAAAAATGCAGGAAAGAATGAAACTTTGGCTCTCCATTTCTGAGAACTTGAACTGCAGCTGGAGAGTGTGTGAATGGTGGTGGTGGTGGGTTTCCCCGGAAAATGACAGGGGACTAGTTTAGGGGTCGATGGCGAGGCGGCGGAGGAGGAGGAGGATTGGGTGGTTGTGAGAAGCGTAGGTGACCAAGAACAAGATAAGGCCATGCTGCTCTCTGCTCTGCCATTGTGTCTCTGTTCAGAAGTTTTTAAAGGTTTGCAAGAGGGTAAATCCGGAAAAACAATCTATATGTCACCTCTAATTTTGTGACACGTGGAAATTTATTTGACACTATTTAACCCCGAATTTAACTCCGTTAAGTGTATTATAAAAATAATTACTCGTAAAAATGTTTCGGAAATTGGCAAATCTCCCATAATTAAAGATGTAAGTTGGAGCACTTTTTGGGCCAAGTTTAAACTTGTTGGGCCTTCTGGTACATCTTAACTTAATACCGTTTCATGATTTAAACCGTCTATTTTCTAAATTACTTTATAAAAATTATTTATATAAAGGGAATCAACTAAACTTAAAATCATTTAGTCATCTAATTACTATTCAATAAATATATAAATTATACTTGATACTCAACCACTTAACTTTTGAGTTGTCGCTCTACGAGGCAAATTAGACGGGTTTAAATTACGCCACGTCATCAGTTAACAAAGCACTTGACAGAAAAGCTAAAGGAAGTATAAAAGCGACAAAAATATCATTTCCTTTTATTTTTTCTGACGTCAAAGAGAAATGCGACTCGCCTAATCCATTTCATCATTATATAAAATAAAATAAAAATAAAATTTAGGTGTAAAAGTAAGATAAAGAAAGATAAGTGTAGTAAAGTAAGATTTCAACGAATCTCCGAATAATAAAGTGAAATCAATGGTTGGTACGGAACTGAGACGAAAAAAATATTATAAGCACGAAAAGCTGAAAATGGATAAACCTGAGGAAGTAAAATGTGAGTAAATTGCAAATGTCATGTCGGAAGCTTGGACAAAAGAAGGTTGGAGCAATCTGCTCATCCAGCAGCCATACATGATACATCACATGTATCACATGGAGTGATTAGTCTGCTGAACCGACCACATGGAGGGATTAGCCTCTCACTTTCCGCCTTTCTCTCCGTCTGCCGACTCTGCCCCACTCGTCCAGTAAGGTTTTCTCACACGCTCCACAGCAAGCAAGTTCCTGCTTACTTTCAGACCTCGAGTCCCGAAGATTTTGAGAGAAAGGGAAGAAGATGCTGTCGAAAATCTCAGTTACCCAGTTCAAAACATCACCTGCTGCACCCAACCCTGGATTTTCATGGCGTGGGAATCGTCCTGTGCTTGGATATTGCGGCAGGAGTTCTTCAGAGCGTAACAAGTTGCGGTTCAAGATTGTGGCGCAGTCTCGGGGGATGGGTGGAAGATCAACGACGTTGATGCAAGTGAGTATGCTTGTTTATTATTTGTTTCCATTAATTTTCTTGATTTTTCATGTTTCATTGATTGAGTTAAATTGTGGGATTCACTTGGTTTTGTGATAGTTATGTATAAACCACAGATTAAACCAAATCCATGTGTCTCTTGGTTTACTAATAATATCATACAGTGCAATTTTATGTCCCAAAGTTTTGGCCTAAATGGTTATCGAACGGTCCTAAATGTTTGTTTCAATTGTGATTGAACTCGAATTCGTTGAAAAGCTTTCCACTTTATGGAATAATAAAGAAAGAAAGAAAGAAAGAAATACCATTGGCTTGTTCATAATTCATAACTATCTTATTTATTCAATTAGAATGCTGAAAAGAATGATTGAACTGGAAGATACGGATCATAAGAGTTTCCACGCAATGCCAAATACTATTTCTCTGCCGTTGTCCCTTGCTGATAATCGAAGGAAAGGCCTCATGAACCTTTTGGTTTCGTAAAGTATATAGCTTTTATCATTTTTCTGTTTTGCGAAATATAATAGAGAAAGAAAATATAATAAGCCTCTTGAATGATAATTTTTTTTTCTAATTTTGATTATTTTAAGGGTGTATAAAAGAGAAAAGTACAAACAATTACTACGTATAGAATGCGGAAAGTGAAAGCATAAGGAAAACGATGCACAGTTACTATTTATCATTGTCGGCTAGGCTGAATGTACTACTGCTTGTCTATGCTCATCATAAGCTCTACGTTAAACACTTTTTGAAAAAAAAAAGGTCTCTTTAATCTTGTTTTGAGTTTTGGCTGTCTAAAACTATTGTATCTTGACAGATGCAGTGCAAGAAAAGTTGAATTCATGGCTAGTAAAGACGCAAAGCTTTATAAATGAAGTGGCATCTCCATTGACAAGAACTGGCCAGACTAAAAAGCCTGTCACTAGAGATGCTTTAGAGACACAAGATATGGAGGACATATTTATGGCAGAACAGACTATTAATAGCAGAACACCAAATGGAATTCTCTCTTTAGCTGCTGTTGTATCTATAGAGCAATTTAGCAGGTGAATTTGTTGGTTCTAATTTCTTTCTCAGTTAAAATATTTGGCTTGAAGTTTTTACATCTGTCTCCATTGCGACATGGTTCTTCATTTGAAATATGAAATTTTGCCTGTCAGATGAACTGCTTTAATATTACCTGTAGTATTTTCTTTTTACAGTATGAAAAACTTTTTATTCCAAGAAGGGTAGGGATTTTTTAAAAGGAAGAAGAAATATCCTAATGCAATGCATCAGCGATCCATCTTACTGCATTAAACTGGCCTGCGATTTTTATATATGGCAGAGACAGTTTTGCTTTCAATTTCCTGTCCGTTAACTCTAATATGGTTTATTCACATGTTGCCCTGAATGGGGAATGTTATACATGGCTACACTATGCAAAAGCTTCCTTGGTTTTATAGGCTTCTCAGACTGACAGAAGAATTATCATTTAACTCTTTGAAGTTAAGATATGCAGGATGAATGGATTGACGGGGAAGAAAATGCAGAATATATTTAAAGCACTTGTCTCTGAGTCTACATATAATGATGCCCGCAATTTGGTGGAATACTGCTGCTTCAGGTTTCTGTCAAGGGATAATTCTGATATTCATCCTTCCCTCAAGGTTAGTAGTACTTACTGCAAGTGGAACTCATTTCTCATGTCATATTTGTGCTCGAGAATAAGAATTGGTTTATCCATATGTTACTTTCTCGAATATCCCAAATAAGATGTGGATTTTCCTATTTTGAAGCAACTTTGAGAAACTTCTCTATGCAAACCTTTTCATTGTCTCTAGTCTAGTTTCTAATTCTTTCTCGCATGGTGAAGGGAAAGATTGGTGTCCTTTGTTAGAGCGGTTCTGTCTAGAAGTGCATATAATTCACTGACATGTTAAAAGTTTTACAATTTTTGTTTTGAAAAAGTGTGTTCTTGTGACTAATGTTATAATTTACGTGGATATTACTTGTAATCATTTGTTTTATTCTTGTCCTCTTGTTTCAACTGTTTAGCAATTTTGTAAGTGTTACTCTTCCTGTCTAAGGGAAGGACCCCAATGGTACTATTGATTTTGTATAGGAAATGTGCTAATAGTAGCCATCTTTTGTGTATTTAATTAATTAATTAATTTTGTGTGTCTTGAAGAGGTCGCACTTGGTGCGATGGCAAGTGCCTTCGCCCATGAGCGGTAGGTCTCGGGTTCGAGACTTGGGAGCAGCCTCTCCATAAATGGGAGTAAGGCTAGCCGACATTCACCTCTCCCAGACCCTGCGTAAAGCGGGAGCCTTGTGCACTGGGTACGACCTTTTTGTGTGTCTTGAACCTAGAAACCTGATGATGTCATTAACATTTCGGAATTTTTCAATTTGGTGATTTGTAGTTGAAGCTAATTTTATTTTCTTTATTGTTCGGGAAAATTTGAATTTTGAGATTAATTAATATGTATATGGTTCTTGTTTCTGGACAATGTTGGTGCATCCACAGGAACCTCCATTCCAAAGACTCATATTTATAACTATGCTTGCATGGGAGAACCCTTATCGGAAAGATCTTGCTAATGGTTCGGAGAAAGCTTCTTTTCAGGTTCATTCTTCAAATATCTATTTATTTATTTAAACCATAGTTTAGAACATAGTGAATTTTTTTTCTTGATATGTTTAACAAATAAATACTTAAATTATACTTTGGCTTAAAACTGCAATTTTGATTATGACTATCATGAGTTAGAAGGAAATAGCGGGTGTGGGCCACTTTTGGCCTGGATGATATGACTGATACCATGCTCTATGAGATAATTAGGTTTATAAAAATTGTCACCTCCAAGAACATGCTAGAGAATTACTTTAATAAGGCTAAATGGTTAAACCTACGTAGTTCTAGCCTGTGTACATTCTTACATTGTATTGTTGATAGTGGTCGGTTAAAGTAGATTTATTTATCTGGTGAACAGAGAAAGCTTGTTAGAGAAGAGGCTTTTGTTCGTATGGCTCCTGCTATTTCTGGTGTGGCTGATAGGTCAACTGTGCATAATCTATTTAAGGCTCTTGCCGGTGATGAACAGGGCATCTCTCTGAGCACGTGGTTGACTTATGTTGATGAACTTCTCAAGTGAGTTTCATATTTGTGTTATTTTACTAACTCTATATGATTGAATTAAGTCTTCTAATAAGCATGATAAGTAGAGAAATTGGATTAAGATTCTGTAATTATAATCATTCAAAAATCCTTTCAGTGCTTTTATGGAAGTGAGTTTATTTTCTTTTCTTATTACAAAATGTCTTAAACAAAAGTACCTAACTTCAATTTTTTTCTATTCCTTTGATGATATTGATAGGAGGAGTTGAAAGTTGTTTATTGCTTTACTGATTTGTACTATAGGCTTTAGAATAGTTTCCAACTCATGGTAGAGGCCTCCCCATCCCTAACAATGTATAGAATGCACCTCGATTGGCACGAGAATTGTGTCTTCCAGTCACTCTAGCCCTGTCGGTGGAGAAGATTCTCCAGTAGTCTCCTTGGAACCTTAAGTCCTAGGGAGCTGCCTAATGGTTTGGTCACGGAAATCAGGGATACAACTGGAGCCCTTTTCCATGGTCACAACTATGGCTCAATCAAGATATCCTTCATCATGTTTTTTCAATTTTTTCAGTTTTCGGCTTTTAATTTCCATACATTGTGCACGGATGTCTCAGGTATTACATTTTCATAATATGTTAATGTACATGCCTGCTAAATTTGCAAA